TCTACACGAGTATGCATGTTTTTGAAGGCTTCTCGTATTTTTCCGCTGCGCTGAGAAAGAATTGTATGGAAGTTTTACAGAAGTGTTCTGACTTCAGACCTGGTTCTAGACTCAACTTCAAAAAATGGCTGTCCGGGAGACATGTTGTTGTTGCAATGTATTGGACTAAAAGAGAATGAAGCTTGTTGGGGGAGCAAGGTTTGCTGCAAATGAACTGTTGGATCATGGCAAAATTTGCTGGTAATTCAAGGGTTGTGATCAAGGTCTATAGAGATTTATCTTAGTTCAGACAGACGCAGAGAAGTTTCAATGAAAAGGAAATGAAGCAGCTAAGTTTGACTTATGACATGAGCTTATGTGTTCGCTGGAAGAATCTGAGTTGTTGGTTTTCAAGATGGATTCTTCTGATAAACTCTATGTATTACAAGAATGTTTTTGCACAGAAGCAAGTGGAGAAAAGTAAGTGTTTCACAGAATTTTACCAACTCAATCAGGGAGAGATACTGGTTATGTATGAGTGAGATGTAAAAATCAAGTGAGAAAACAGGGTAGTTGAAACAGAGGTCTGAAATAGTTGCGCGTTGGTTTATACATAGAGTCTGTGATTTTTCTATGAAGGAGCAGCATCCAAGCAGGGAGAGAAAGTGATGCAGTGGTGTAGGGGGAGTATTATACGCCGTGTAGCTTACTCATATGGACGATTCGATGTAAAGATTCTTTATTGGTGTTGATTTTGGTTGTCAATGAAGCAGGTGAGATTTGCAATTGAAGAGAAACGTGAAGATATTAATCCAAGGAGCAGCTTTGGTTTGTACTGATTCATTTGATGCTTGATTATGATGAGTAGTGCTTTAAAGCCATTGATTATGTTGCTGATAAAGACTAAGCATTATGGATGGAACTAACAAATTAGAAAGCAAAGATTGGTAATCTACATCAGACGTGGATCTTTTTGATTTGGAGGTTCTTGTGCTATAAGCTTTGGGAGGATGAAAATCACTGTAGACCTCAAAGGGGGAAGGCGTTTCTGATAGTGGACTATGCCCAAACAGGTATAACTAAGCTCATCCTGCACTTAATGTTTTAACAGAGTTTTATCACTCAAGCAGGGGGAGATTGAGAAAGTTCTGTGAACAGACATTAGCACGATGATATAGGATTAAGGGAGAGCTTTCATATCATGATTATTGATGGGTATGCGTGCTTAACATGGAGAGCTTGAGCTGTAAAACTCAGTCAAACAGGGAGAGATTGAAAGTGCAGATATTGTTGGAACAGGTGTGAAGCTGTTGGAACGAAAGATCATAACGAGATTTGGTCTTTCATAATGTTATGTTACGGCCACGTTGGTCGTGGGCCATTGTTCAAGTTAAGCCCAATTGCTTGTAGAGACTTGAAGCGTGGCTTAAGTTGTCTAGGGTTTTTGGCAATTGATATAAATACCAAGAGACGGCAACATGAAGACTTGCGCGTCTAGGGTTTATCGAGAGAGGCACACATGTGTGTGACGTCGCCCCATCAACAAGATAGAGAGATCTTTTGATGGTTTTGTTGAGAAGCTATACTCGTCGGAAAAGACAATAGGAGTAGTAGTTTTCGTTCATTGTAATTCTAGAAAAGAGTGGTGGATGCCATATAGCAATTGTAGGTTGCGGCCTTTTCTAGTGAATGGTTTCTGGACTTGGTCCCGGGGATGTAGGTTAACCGAACCCCGTTAACAAATCTCTTGTGTCTCATTTACTTTATGCACATACGAACTCGTTACACTCTCTCGTCATACAAACGTATAGATCTAGCACACATATAGTAATTTCAAGAGTGGCTAAATTGCGCATGGGAAGGAAGAGTGACACGGTGGAGACTGGAGGGAGAGTCGACTAGAGTGAATTGGGATAGCAAAAGGGTGACACGTGGACTGTTTTGTCACGTGGACACTCAAGATATCATTTAATCTTTTCCCCAACCACTTGTGAGCTGTAAAGAAAATTATGAACACAATTCACATTTAAAGCATAACCAATGTGTTACAAAAAAGGCCCCACATTTACTGACTAATTTGAAAAACATAAACACATTTCACTATTAACATATGGTCTTCTCTCTATCTCCCTTTGGCTAGGCTTTGTAGTAGCTGTTCGCCATGGGAGACGCAGAGAGCACCTCCAAAACTAGCTTGCTGCTGCCGGTGGAAAGAGTTGAGAACGTGACGTGGAGAGATCTGCGAGACGACGGATCATTCACCGCTGAACTCAAGAGGCTCCTCTGCTTCGCCGCTCCTATGGCGGCTGTTGTTACCGCTCAGTTCATGTTGCAGATCATCTCAATGGTTATGGTTGGTCACCTTGGTAATCTCTCCCTCGCTAGTGCCTCTCTCGCTTCCTCTTTCTGCAACGTCACTGGCTTCAGCTTCATTGTCTGTTTTCTCTTCCCTCTCCCCTCTTTATCTCAATCTGTTACTAGTTATCAAATTGCATCCCCTCAGTTACTTGTTTCTTAATTTTTTATATGATGCTAGGTAGGATTGTCATGTGCCTTAGATACTTTGAGTGGTCAAGCTTATGGTGCTAAGCTATATCGGAAAGTAGGAGTTCAGACTTACACAGCCATGTTCTGTCTTGCATTAGTGTGTCTCCCTCTCACTCTCATATGGTTAAACATGGAAACGCTTCTTGTATTCCTTGGCCAAGATCCTTCTATTGCTCATGAAGCCGGCAGATATGCTGCCTGCCTCATCCCAGGACTGTTTGCTTACGCCGTTCTACAGCCGCTCACTCGCTACTTCCAAAACCAAAGCATGATTACACCACTTCTCATCACCTCTTGTGTCGTGTTCTGTCTCCATGTTCTTCTCTGCTGGCTTTTGGTTTATAATTCAGGGCTTGGTAATCTTGGAGGAGCCTTAGCTCTCAGTTTTTCGAACTGTCTTTATACCATTATCCTTGGATCTATCATGTGCTTCTCCTCTGCCTGTTCTGAGACACGCGCACCGCTCTCCATGGAGATATTCGACGGCATTGGAGAGTTCTTCAGATATGCTCTTCCTTCTGCGGCTATGATTTGGTACTTCACTTTTCTCTGTTACTTTTCACTTCTCAATGCCTCCACATTATGGTTAAAAACTCTTTTATGGGTTGCAGCCTGGAGTGGTGGTCATATGAACTCATAATATTACTCTCTGGTCTCTTACCCAACCCACAACTGGAGACTTCTGTGCTCTCTGTCTGGTACTCATCCTTGCATCTTTCCATTTCTTGTCACAATCTTATGAATTTTCCAAAACATAATGGTATTCATACTATGGACAGTCTCCAAACAACTGCGACAGTCTATTCGATACATCTTGCGATCGCAGCTGCAGCAAGGTTAGAGATTCAGTCACATACTATGCATGAAATACATAAGAGCTGAAGCATACACAAGAAATCATATTGTTTCGTGTTCATAAGCAAGTAGTTTCTTGTGCAGCACAAGAATCTCAAATGAATTAGGTGCTGGAAACTTTCGAGCAGCACATATTGTGGTCTACGCAGCAATGTCTCTTGCAGTAATGGAGATATTGATAGTGAGTACTTCCCTATTAGTCGGCAGGAATGTTTTCGGCCATGTTTTCAGCAGTGACAAGGAAACCATCGACTATGTTGCAAGAATGGCTCCATTGGTATCTATTTCTCTCATACTGGACGGTTTACAAGGGGTTCTCTCAGGTTCGAGACTTATTCCTATATCTTTACTCAAACACAAGCTACTATCGGATACTATTTACCCACTTTTCGTCCAAAGTCTTCATGTCTATTCCTGTTGTGCTATTTAGTCCTGTGTCAAAGTTACAAAGATATCCCAAAGTTTTACTCTTTTTTGCCACTCTGAATAGTCGTTCGATGGTTTGCAGGTATTGCAAGGGGATGCGGATGGCAACATATAGGGGCTTACATCAATTTAGGAGCTTTCTATCTCTGGGGGATACCCATTGCAGCATCTTTAGCATTCTGGTTTCATCTGAAAGGTGTTGGCCTTTGGATTGGAATACAAGCCGGTGCCCTTCTGCAAACTCTTCTGCTGGCTCTTGTCACAGGCTGCACAAACTGGGAAAACCAGGTCCTTTCCTTTTTCATTTTTTCCTTCTTCTTCATGGCTTGTTTCTGTTGTGAAACAAACATATTGATGTTCAATTGGATGCATATTTCAACTCTAGGCTGATGAAGCGAGGAAGCGAATGGCTTTAGCCTATGGAACGTAAGGCGCTGCAGAACAGCTAAAGATTATAGAGACTGTATGTTCCTCCGGTTTTACCATTTTTGTAGCAGAAAAATTGGTGTATGTTACTTTGTGGCTAGTGAAAGGTCTTCTTGTAATAATACTGCATAATTTCCATCAGTAGTAGTAATAAGCATCCTTCATCAATCTTTAATTTTTAACATCTCAAGAACATTGAGATATACCTCTCCACGGAAAAAGATGCAAAAAGAGCCTTTTATGTGCTCCCTACAAGAAAGAATAATGATCAAATTCACCACCCATCCAAGTAGCTAGAGACCAACAAGTGGTAGTGATAGATTGAGTACAGCCACTTCAACCACCACATATCTCCTAATTGAGAGCATCTCATCACCTGTCACTAGTCCTACTTCTTGCAAGAGTAACTGAAATACTCGAAGTCTCGAACCTATAAAAGCTCCTGAATCTTGGTAACAAGGGTTTTAAAGGCACCCCTAGTGTCAAGTAAAGCATAACATAGATGAACAATTCATTCAACTTTAACACTGCAATTTACCTTCCAATAGAGAAACCCATGAAGCTTCTATATCATCATCATAGGCCTTTGTGTGATTAAGCTTATAAGCAGATAGATATTGTACTTGACATATATTAATTAGCTCGAAATAAAAAATCTAGCATTTTTAGATAGCGCGGAAAAAAAAAACTAAAACCCAATAACAGAATCCAGAACCTTTCAAGATTCGCTTCCCCTATATAAACCAAATCATAACCGCTTTTTTCTTTCTTCTTCTTCCATTTTACTCTCATCGACCTCAAAAATCACAACAATGGCGAACATCTCGAGCGCTTCTTGTTTCAGAGCCATCTTTCTCGGAGCTCTCATCATCCTCTGTCTTCCCCATCCCTCCACCGGCGTTCCTTTGGAAGAGTTAGAAAGAGCCATCGCCGTCCTCCGCGTCAGAGGCCGTGCTCTCTTCGCCAACGCCATCATCACCTCCGATCTCCTCTTCGATCTACTCTCCGACGAGTCTCTCACTCTCTTCGCCCCCACCGATTCCATGCTCTTCGCTCTCGACATGACTCATTCTCTTCCCTTCTACGTTTCTACTCTCCGCCTCCACTCCGTACCTCTCCGCCTCTCACTCTCCGATCTCCGATCTCTCCCCAACGCCTCCTCTATCCCGACGCTTCTCCCATCTCATCGCCTCCTTCTCACTAAGCTTTCTTCCTCCAACGACTCCATTTTTCTCGACGGTGTTCAACTTCTCCTCCCTGGTTTGTTCGATGGTCAACATATTGCCGTACACGGTCTCGCCGATCTTCTTCCCCTCACCGCCCCTTCGTCTCCCAATCGTCTCGTGGAAGATTCGGCGGCACTTGCAGAGTCACCGTGGTTTTTAGGTTCAAGATTTTCACCGGCACCAGAGCCTTACTTCGCCTTTATGGGTCCTTCGCCAGCAGAGTCGCCGAGTGTTGAGGAAGTTTCACCATCGCCGTCGTGGGGAGAAGATTTCATCGTAGACGATGAAGGAGGTCCGTTAGATGGGAGGAATAACGGCTTTTGATGTACACGTGTCGTAATCTCTGTAAAACCTAACACGTGTCCTTGTTAAGTCAAAAGAGTCCTTTCTCTTTCTTTTTTTTGGTCAAAAAGAGTCCTTTCTTTCTTTCATTTTTGCAAAAAGAGTCCTCCCTTTTAGATTGAAATTTGAAATGTAATCTTCGGAATTTCTTAATGCAGATTGATTCAAAGAGTTTGAACCGAATTTAACCGACTTGTATCAATACAATCTTTCAATGATTATGCCAGTGCATGAAAGCTGAGCTACACTCACTAGTAGATGAACAAAACAAATTATAGCACAAAGGCAAATCTTTCCTACAAATTACCATAATTTCACCTTACACATCTCCAAAATAGATTTGACCAGTTTTCTAACTCGCAAAGTAACTCCACCACATTTCAAGAACAAACAAACTATATGACTTAGACAACCTCATGTTTAATGTCTTCCTCCACTGCTTCTGCTTTTACTGTATCAGTAGCCACTTCCTCCTTGATGTTTCCATCTCCTCCCTCCTCTAGCAAATCATCCATTATCATTTCATCCTCTCCACCATTGATATCCTCTACTTCATCTTCTTCCTCGTCATCTCCTCCCCCTCCAGGTATCTTTCTCTTCTTCGGCCCGTGCTCCATCCTATGCGACTCTAATTCCTTGTCCATTGTTTCCTGCAAATTAATACCCTCGTTGTTTGCTTTCCTCGCCTTCCTTGCGTTTTGCCACCTCTCCAGCTCTTTCTCAACATTTCCCAGACACTGCTCTTCTATCTCCTTTTGATACTCACTCACTTCTTGTCTCCTTGCCGCCTTCCATTCTAAGAATGTCTGCGTCAACACCAAACCAGTCACATATCAATATCCCATAGCATGCATGTCAAAACATTCATTTACAAAACTACAACACCTTACCTGCTCTTTCTGTTGCTCTACCTCACTTGTATCTTCTTCCAAAGGCTTCACTAGTGCATAGTATATCCGTGGCTCTGCTTTAGTCCTGCAACAAGCGTCCACATGCAAATCAAACAAAATAAGTTTTGACAGAAACCTTTATATCAGCTAGCAATTTCTACCTATGGCAGGCCATATAGCACCAAACATTGCCTTTGTATGCACGTGAATGGAAACTTATCTTTGCTTCTATAAAATTGTCAATATGCACACTTTTTGGACCGAAATAAAAAATAACCTGCAAATCAAATACATAGCAATTAGCAATCTCATCATTACGACTCATCAAGTAGAGTAAGTAAGGGTACGCTATGGAACTAAAGCACGCACAGTTACCGCATCTCAACACTACCTTATAAAATTGGTAAGTTTCTTTTGGTGCTCACTCCACTGAAGGAAAAGCAATTCCAACTTCTTTTGTTCTGCTTTAGCAGCAACACGAGCTCGAAGAGTCTGATTGACCAGTTAAATTGAGTATATCAGATCTTTACTACACAAGACTGCCATTAGGAATTCTACGCAAAAGAGAAAAAACTTAAGCTGGCCACTTACAAGATCTCTTCTCCTCTTTTCAGTAAGATTTTCACGCTCCTGCAACCTCAGTCGTTCACTTTCTTCACGAGCCTTTTCCTCAGCCTATAAGAGGAGGAAGGATACAATGAACAAACACTGTTAATAAATTGTAGTACTAAAGATGAAATTAAGGAATAAGCGCACTCCAAACTGGACATATAATGATACCTATACCTAACATCTTAGCAGTATTGTTATTATTTTCAAATTAAAGAGCAAGAGACCCAATTCCAATTTAAAAAATCATATCTAGATAGATTTAGGCTTCACTACAACGCTACTTAAGTCAAAAGAAACTGAATGAAGATGCTGTCTTGGATTAGAAAATGAAGTTTATCAATCCAAGTACAAAAACGTGGCGTTTCCCTCACTAAACAGCAACAGCTTCGTAAAATATCTCATATCTGGGTTTTTAGTTCATGAAAGAAGCCAAGTGAATATGAAGTGTGTGCTTACCCTTTGTAGAGTTGCAGTCCGTCGGGCGTATGCATCTGTTCCAGAACGCTGCTTATCTTCTTTTCTGAACTTCTGCAAAAGGAGGAAAGTATTTAGACAAGTGAGAATACAAGAACTTGAATAAATAACGACACATCTAACATGAATCAAGCTTATCCATGAGACAAGAGGTTCATGTGATTCTCAACAAATACCTCCAAAGTTCCTAGAAGATTCCCCAGCATTCTTCTGTTCCTATTAACCAGTTTAGGATCCTCATTCTTAGGTAAAACCCTTGGTGAAGGCTCCGGTAATGCAAAAGCTTCGAAACCCTGATAAGAGCACAATAACAACGACCACTGAGTAAACAGTCGCCTCTTTCTCATAAAAAGAGTATCTGAGTGGGATTGATTTACCTTCTTGGTCCCTCGTTGTTCTGCATCTCTCTGGGACCAACTTCCACGATGATGAACAGATAGCTTCTTGTCACTTTGATCAGAAGTCCCGTTTTCACCAACTAAAACCTGGGTTCCATTACCATCAACTGGCAATTCTCCATCCTTACTAACATCTTCACCGTCGACCTAAAGTGCCCCACTAAAGTTAAGAAACTAAACCACTTCCTACGATCTATCAATGAGAATGCAATTACTTTCCAAACACAAATTACCTTAACAACGGCGGAAGACAATCTCCGTTTAGCAGGAGGCTCATCTTCTGCGTCATTCCTTTCCGCCTTCAAAAACACACAAAATCCGATAATCAATTACCGCAATTTGATTCATCCCAAAGGAGAGAAAGAGAATAAAGGAGAAGAGAAAACTTACAGGTCGAGGAAAGCCTCTACGGCCTTGGTTGCGAGGAACGACGCTTGAGAAGCCTCCACGGCGGAGTCCACGAGGGTCACGAAGCCTCTCCGTAATCTGATCAGGATAGAGAATTAGTTAAACCATCGCCGTCAACAGAGATTTGTAAACTGAGAATGAGATTAATGGTGGAGATAGTACCTCGCGCTGTTGACGATGAAGCTCATCGATCTCATGCCGTAGCTCTTCCGCTGTCTTCTCCAAGGCGGTGTCTCCCATCGTCGCCGCTGCTCAGAAATTTCGCTCGAAACCCTTAGAAGAAGAAACCAAAATCTTTTTATGGGCTTTAAAAGGCTTTACTTCACACTATCCGTCCACCTAAAACTTCAGAAAAGCCACTAATAGAAACCAAAAAACTTATTATAAAAAGTTAAAATTATATTATAGGTATATAATTTAATTTCCTAATATAATTTAATTTTAAAGCAAATTTTCTGAAAATCCATATATTTTTTTCCTATAGTAAAAATTTTCTTTCTATATTATTCAGTTTAATGTATTACCAAAATATGTAAGATAAAAAAATATATAATGTGAAAAAACCTAAGTTACATGAAATCGAAATCATGTACATATGTGGAAATGAAACATTTGAAAATATGGAAACGATTTAAAAAAAACATCAAAATCATATTTCTTAAAGAAATTAATATTAAGTAACTTATTTAAAGATAGAGATCACAAGTTCAAAATTAAAGATTTATACCATCATTCTCATATAATTTGCATCAATTCCATCTAAGTTATGTTTGTAATGATCAGCATAAAAAGGTGAATAATTCATATTCCTCAAACAAATTGTAGAAAGGTGAATAATCTGTTTGAGGAATTTGCATCAATTCCATCTTCGTTTGATTTTCATAGTAACATTCAAATTAGCCCCCACTTCTTATCTGTTTTTGAGTTGCAACTTTTACTTCTAAAAAGGTTTTTTCTTGATGAATATTTTTTACATTAGAACAAAAATAAACTCACATTAAGAGAAAAAAAAAAAAGGAAGCAAAGATCTTTATTGCAAGAAGGCAAGAAATGTATCAGAAGAAAACAGAGTGTAGAGTGGTTATCTATCTAGTCTGGAAGTTGAGGGTCTTGATGCAAAATGCGAAGATGAAGGCAAAGAAGACAGTGAAGCCAACTAGTACTCCGGCGACAGGTCCCATGAAGTCTGATTCAAAACCGTATTGATCTTTAATGTATTGTTTCACAGTGAGGCCAGGTGCACCACCAAGGAGAGCAATGGGAGTCTCAACGTCACCATATTGAGAAGTGATCAAACCATATATGGTCCAAGCAACAGGGCAGATCCAGTAATACCAAACCCACCACTTTGGAATTTTAGGTCTAGGGATGAAAAATCCAGAGAAGAGGTTAAAGATACCATAAAAGGCTGATGCAAAGATAGAAGCAACTTGTTGGTTAGGCGTGAGGGAAACTGTCATCATGCCGTAGTAGGTCCAGTAGAGGAAGGAGAAGTAATTGATGAAGATGAACCACAAGAACTTAGAAGCTTTCCACTCGAATCCAACCATAGAGTAGATGATAAGAGAATAGTATGTCGTCTGAATCAAGACATAAGGTAGCTCACAAGTCACCTGGGAGATAGCATAAGGTATAGCTGAGTACATCCCAGCTGCTTTTTCTCTGTAGAACACTGTCCGTTCCACTGCCACCATTGGTTGTACTGTCGAGCAGTTGTTTATACCAACGAATACAACTGCTGCGTAGATTGCTCCGATCACCATTGTCAGGTCTTGTACGTTTGATCTCTTACCTCCGATTTGCCAGAAGACAGAGCCGATCATGAGAGAAGTTGCTAATGTGAAGATGAACCGGACAAGGTTGTAGTCTGGAGATCTCCAGTAAGTCCACCATTGCTTCCATAGACATGATTTGAATTGTCCCCATGTGTTCTGTGAAAACTGTGTCGCGAAGTAGAGATCAGTCGCGCCTTGGGGAGGCACGCTTAGTTCTTGCACCAGCGCCTTGTTCCGCCTGAGACAGAACCATTCATATGTTAATTAGTTAGTTTGATCAGGTATCATCACATCATTATCAAATATAGTTTTTGTTGTGTTCACTTACTGGCATAAGGCTGAAGCCTTGTATAGCTCAGCAAAGTCAACTCCAAGCTTCAACTCGGCCGCAAGGGAGCTGGCTTCCAGCATCCAAGTGGCAGGGTTGTATTTTTCCGGAATCTTTGGCACTCCAGGGAAGGCTTCAAAGTACTCAAC